ATTTGGATAGTATGCCAAATCTAACAGGATTTGCTATAAAAGACATAAGAGGAACAAAAGTAATTGTGCTGCTTTTACCAACTCAATGCCTTCCACATGTGAGCTACAACTCTGATACAACTGACACATAATAAGTGTGCCCATTTATACAGCAGCAGATTCCACAGCATAATATTGATTGATGAAGGGTATAGTAGACTATAATTCTTGCTTTTTGCCAAAAAAAAAAAAGTAAGTGCTAAGCTGTCTACTTTTGTAATTTGCCCTTAGTATCTCTTATTTTAATTTTAAAAAATGCCCTCAACCAGTATTTACAAAAGAGATTAGTAGCTATGTGCATATGTATACCTTTAGTTGAGACATAGTGGTGGTGCAGTGGTTAGAATGCAATACTTCAGGCTAATTCTGCTCAATTAGTTCAATTCTCACCCAGTTCAAGGTTGACTCAGCCTTCCAAGGTCTGTAAAATGAGGACCAAGATTGTTGGGGGCAATATGCTGACTCTGAAAACTGCTTAGAGAGGGCTGTAAAGCACTGTGAAGCAGTATCTAAGTGCTATTGCTATTTGTTTTGAACAACTATATTAAGATATATAGCAGAGATGGTATTCAGCAGGTTCTGACCAGTTCTGGAGAACCGGTAGCAGAAATTTTGAGTAGTTCGGAGAACCAGTAAATACCACCTCTAACTGGCCATGCCCCCATCTATTCTCTGCCTCCTGAATCCCAGCTGATTGGGAGGAAATGGGAATTTTGCAGTAACCTTCCTCTGAGGTGGGGAGAGAATAGTGATTTTACAGTATCCTTCTCCTGGAGTGGGGTGGGCATGGAGATTTTACAGTATCCTTCCCATGCCACGCCCACCAAGCCACGCCCACCAAGCCACACCCACAGAACCAATAGTAAAAACTTTTGAATCCCACCACTGATACATAGGCCTTATAATACTACTTCTCTTCATTAGTCCTATAAACAAAAAGAGTAGAGTGATATTGTAATCTTTACAGCATTAATAATTCTAATAATACTTTAGAGAGTTAACACACTGTAATTCCAGATCCTTCTAATTTAGGATTCCAGAATTTATTCAATGATATTTTGTGCATATAACATCCACACATCATTTATGCAATTATTTGGAAAATCATTATTTTCTTACTTTTCATTTAGAGAGGTTTGTGCTAAATGTAGGCCTATGAGTTTTGTATTGTCATCCTTGCAACAACCTGGCACATTTTCATATAATACACTGAGATAAAATGTGAAATAAATGATAGCATATATGCCATGTTTAGCTTTTATATACCAGGTTTTGAAGGATCACTTTATATGAAGTCAAAATAGACAGCTTCTTGAATCCCCTTAACCTAGATTATGTAACCAATATCAAAGTAGATTCACCCAAGGCAGCATACATTTTGAATTCACATGATGTTAAGAATCTCAGGTGTCCACAGCATGGGGAGAGTAGCAGAAAAATGAAACCATGTATACTTTTATTGTGAAAGATTTTTCTCTTTAATATGTTGTGGGAACAATATTTTTGTGAAATGGAGGTTAAATTGAAGAATGATAGTGAATTAGTGAATGATCAGTGAGGAAATCAGAATATTGGTAGAATATAGCTCTACCTGGATGTGTTTTAAAAAGAATGGTTATATATATGGTGTTCAATTTGCTATAAACCTTTCCTGATGTATGATATCAGGACATAGACAAATGAAAAT